TGTCTTCCACAATCCTTTCTAGTTCTTTCTAGTTGCCATTCATAATTTTCATGTCTGCTTCTAACAATCGATGCAGTGTGTCCTTTGGCCTTCCACTTTTCCGTCTCCCTTCACGATTCCATGTTAGTGCTAGTGTCATGATGCAGTTTTGTGATTTTTGTGAAGTGTGTCCTATCTACTTTCAGCATATGTTCTTAATTTCTGTTTCATGTCGAAGCTGCTTTGTTCTCTCCTACAGTAGACTGTTGCTGATGGTATCCGGTCAACGGACATTCAGTATCTTGAGTAGACAATCGTTTACAAGTAATTGTACTTTTTAGGTGATGCTTGCAGTAGTTCTCCAAGTTTCAGCTCTGTACAATAAGACTGTCTTGAGGTTCGTATTGAAGACTCGAACTTGAATATTGGATGACAGTTGTTTTAGTTCCATGTGTTCTTCAACTGCATTGATGTGGCTCCTGCTTCGCCAATCCTTGCTTTTACTTCTGCATCGGATCCTCCACGTTTGTCGATAATGCTGTCCAGTTACATGACAGTTTCCAAGTTTTCCAGTGTTTCTTCACCAAGTATGGTAGGTTTTGGTATTCTCCGTGTCGTATTTGATGATCTTGCTTATTCCCTTTTGTTTATTGAGGTCTACTGACTAAGAGACTGCTGTTACACTAATTGCCTTCATCTGCATTTGTTGAATTGTGTGAGATGGAAAGGTCAGGTCGTCTGTAAAGTCAAAATCATCCAGCTGCATCTAACCTGTCCATTGTACTCCGTGTATCCCCCTAGATGTCCAGGTTTTCATAATCCACTCAATCAACAGAAGATAGAGACAGACTTGTCTAACTCCGAACCCCACAGAAAAATCGCCTGTCAGTTGTCCTCCGTACACGTCTTTGCACTGCAGTCCGTAGTATGAATTCCGGATGATGTTGACGACATTCTGAGATACACCATAGTGTCGAACAAGGTTCCATAAGGTTCTCCTACCCATACTGTCAAACGCCTTCTTATAGTCAATGAAGTCTATGTATAGTGACGAGTTGCGTCCGATTGCTTGTCCAGCGATGATCCGTAGTGTCGCGATTTTGTCTATGTACGATCGATCCTTACGAAATCTGGCATGCTGATCTTGAAGTTGGTTGTCTACTGAATCTTACTTCCGGTCTAGCAACACTGTCAAAAACGTTTTCCGGTACTGACAGTACTTTGGTGCCTCTGTAGTTTTTGCACTTACCCAGATCTCCTTTCTTCGATATCTCGAAGAAATATCCTTCTTCACAGTCCGTCAACACCTGTACTTTCTCCCAAATCTTCCTGAATAGTGTGAAGCATGTTTGAAGTTGCTTCCATGCCTGACCTCAGTGCTTCGAGTGGTATGTTGTCAGGTTCTGCTGAGTTTTCAAACCTGATTTCCCTGGTGGTCATTCTGATTTCTTCCGTCGTTCATGAAGTGACAGCAATAGGAATGTTTGTGTGTGCTGCTTCGATGTCCGGTGTGTTCAATGGAGCTGGTATATTCAATAGTTCCTCAAAGTGTTCTGTTTGTCTTTTCGTGAATTTCAATGATTAGCTTGCCTTTTTTGTCCTCGACTAGTTTCTCTGATTTATCATATTCTCTTGCCCGTTTCTCCGTTGCATCATAAAGTCGACTGATATTTCCGTCTGTGGCGGCTTTTTCCATTTCGCTGCTGGCTCTTCTACGTATTACTGTTTGTCAGTTCTTGTGCTCATCTTCACTTGGTTGTTTGATTCTGTATGTTCCGTTTGTACATTGACTTTCCATGTTCTCGTTTGGCTGTTGTTAATGTTGTCTTTTCATTCTTCCTTTCTTGAATCTTGTGATGGGCTTCGATAGAGATCTTTTCTTTACGATGATGATTCTTTTGGCCCAGCAACCAGTGGAACGTTAAGGCTAGTGTATTTTAACCTGTTTCTAGTTGTCCTCCATAGTGGTTTCTTTTTCTTTGAGTGGATCCTGTAGGGTTTGGAACCTGTTGTTGAGAGCTATCTTGAATTCGTTGAGGTAGTCAGCATCTTGAGAGAATAGTACACCAAACCTTTTGGATGCTGTTTCTCCAGTTGTTCAGTTTTTTCTTAGCTTCAGCTTCATCTCGTCAGCTCCTTCCATGGTTTTCACCTTTCCCATTGTGCTCTTGAATTTTTAGTAGTACAGATATGATCGATCTGGTTCTCCGTAGTGTGGTGTGGTCCAGTGAGTTCCATGTAGCTTTATGTATCTGTTTTTGCGGGAATATTGTGTCACGTATTACCATTTTGTTGAATGCATGTAAGTCTGCAAATCTCTCATCATTCTCGTTCTTTTCCCTCACTCACTCCATGTTGTCCCATTACATCTTCATATCCAACTTTAGAGACTAGATATTCAGTCAGGATGATCAGGTGCATTCTTGAGCACTCTACGGCAACATATTTCAACCTCTAGTAAGACTAGTCTTTGTCGTTGTCATTGCTGTCATTGATGTGTACACAACAATAGGTAACACTGATTGTGATTCTGCCCTTCTTTGTTTTGAAAAATGGTTTGATGAGCCTGTGTCCATGAGATTTCTATCCCACAAAACCTTTACGTGCTTTTTCGAAAAACATCAATGCAACTACCTGTGTTCACGAGCCATTTTCTTCTTCGCGACCAGAGTACAGCTACATCCCCCCCGAACATAACCTTTTCTTTCCAGTTTGGGTATTGTGGGTTTCACTTATTCTGAGAACCGACAACTTGAATGTACTAATTTCCATTGTTATTTGACTGGTCTTCCCGGTTTTCCACTTTGTCCGTACATTAATGTACATATATTAATTGTTGCTCTGGTCGATAGAAGGCGTATCGACCTCGTGACTTCCATAGAATCTCGGCTTTCATCATGAGGTATCATAAATCTTCCTTTAACTCACAGGACAGAGTCTAAATGGTTTAAGTTGTTTATTCTAGTTAGCGTTTATTTATCAAAGTTGTTTTTTGTGGTAGAGAAGATTGCTAAACCAATGCCAAAGTCACCTGCTTTACCTGGAGTTGGAACCTGCAGTAACCCTAGATGAGCAACAGGTGGAGTTGTCATCAACATGTTCATATATGAACTTAAGACTTCTGGATGCATCATAGACTAATCTCTGAAAAATATATGCAGCATTTCTCAAGCCGAAATGTATGTGCGAAAATTCGTAGAGGACAAAAAGTTTAATGAATGTCGTAAGCTGCCATGGGAATTCGTTTATGGGTTTTAACGAAGTGGATTTTCGAGATCTTTTAAGGTAGTTGTCAAATCGTGAATAGGAGACAACGAATATCGATCAGGAATGGTTTTCTCACTCATTTGCCGATAGTCACCAGTTGGACGCTAATCGTAACTGTCCCTTTTAGAGATCATATGTAAAGGCGATACCCATGTGCTGTTTGATAGCCGAATGATTTTCAAGTCTATCATGCGGTCAAAATTCACTTTTAGCTAATCTCAGCTTTTTGGGAAGTAGTCGGCGAGCTTTCGAGAATACGGGTAGTTTTATAGTCAATCTGCCGATTACACACAACGATTTCGGTCGCGTTTGGTAAAGCTTGGAATACTTATCTAGTGTTTTTTGATAGAATGGATCGATTGTGCGAGATTGTGACTGGGAAAAATCCACAACCAGAAAAATAAGTTACACAGATAGGTAATTTAGTATTGTTGTCTGCTAACCTCCGTTTGCGGGTGTTGATGAGTAGATTGTGGTGTTAAAGCAGGTCTATGCCAATGGCTGGCGAAGAAAAATCTGCAGCAACGGAGACCCAGCGGATGATGCTGCGTCAACTTACATCGTGATAAACATATCGCCGACCGTATGTGGTGACAAGTTTTCTATCTGCCGCCTGTAAGTTGAAGACCGGTTTGTGAAGATGGTCGATAGAATTGAAGGATGACCGCTTCTGCGCCAGTGTCGAACTTTCATTATCACATCGGTGATGTACAACAGATGGCTATTTTCTCTGGGCCATGGTTGCTGTCAACGCATTCCAGTGAAGAAGTTTCGAAAAAGGGTTTTTCTTGTCGGACAGTTTGAAAACTGGGAAACTTCATAGTTTCCTTAAATTTCTAAAAGACCTATCATGAGTGTGGTGATACCGGCACTATTCAGGGTTACCTGCCTCTTGTGGTCCAGAGATAGGTCTTTTACGTGGAGTTTGGGAGCGTCTACAAATATAATGGATATTAACATATCGAACGAGAGTATATTAGGGATCTGAGATGTTATTTATTGGCGTTTGGGGATTTTCTTTCACAGAATAAAACTAGCGACTGGGTGTTCCGGCGATCTCCGAAATCCGTTAAGTAGATGCAACTGGTTCGTTTACAGCCTTGTTCTGACATGAGGCAAGTAATGCCCGCATATTTTTGGGAGGCTTGGAAAGGAAAATTTACCTAAACGGGCCCAGTAATAAATGTCGAATACTTACAGAACTATTTACTTTGTGGATTTACTTACCGCTATAGAATGAAGAGTGTTATTGTCAATTAATTCATACTAAAATATACAAATTTGAAAATGACTGCTCTTTACACTTGTTATAATCCTGAACTATCGTCCGAATTTCTCCTATTAGTAAAGTGATCAACTGTAATTAGCAGTTACTCCCTACAGCACGCCGTTTCTTATCATCTTCGTTTAATGGCTGTTTTTCTAGTTTGCTACGTGTGTTTGTGTACTGATCTACCCTGCCACACTTTTGACGTCACTCAATTTTTTCGTTTATTGTTTTGGCCTTTATCTTCCATATGGTTCCTTTTGTCCAAAATCCTGAATTCTTCATATTACAACCAAGCAATGTATTTTCCTTTAATATGATAGCTGGTAGTTATAGAAATCACACTGCTATGGAGAAAACACGTCAATTATACCCCAAAAACAATAATCTCTAAATAACTGTACAGTTCAGTTGAATTGGTGCTGCCGCGTTACTATGCTACCCACATTGAACTAAAAAATGACTTAGAACTGAACATTACCGTAAAAAAGCGATGAACAAGAAACGGACTGGTTTACATCAGTTTGTAACAAAGGTATCAGATATTAGAATTTGTGGGTCTTGTGTATTGGATATGGCAAACATTTCAAGTACTGCGTTACCCATACGGATGTACTCCGAGCGTCTAAAATATTTAGAACATAAATTAGTACAAGACGGGTCTGTGTCCAATTCATTTTTGAATGAACGACCAGTGGAAAATTGTCAGGAATCCGTGGATGCAAAGCCAAGTGTTCCTTATATTGGTAGGTGTTTTTCTACTAAAATAGTTGTAGACTTAAGTCCAGCCTTGGCTGGAATAGGTGTTGGGGTTGCCAGGTTATTTTAAGCGAGTTTACTTAATATCTTTTAGCATGTTCTTAGAGGTCTTATTATCACATCCATTCATCGTAATAAGGAATCAGTGTCAAGTTGTGGAATCAAGTCGATGTCTTCATTTAACCCCTTTCACCCTCATACCTGTTGTTCGAAAGTGTATACAATCTCAAGTAAATTTTCGATATAATAATCTGTATTAAATCAGGGTCTATCATTTCTTTGGAAGGGGTTGGGCAGTGTGTTTATCATTCGTGGTTTAAACCTTATGACTGAGAATCTCGTTTGTGAACTTACACCATTACCCAAGTAAGCAATTAATTTATGTACAATATTTTCAGGGAGGTCTCCAAATTGAGTTCGTCAAGACGCCTCGTAGGTCATCTTCTTCTCAAAGTGTAAGTTGCTGCTGTTATTATTTATTCTACTCCAGTTGTTCGTGGGTTGTTCTCACCCCATTTTTCGCAGCAAGCATTGTTGAACTTATTCAGGTGAGTTGGTGTGTTGTATTTTCATGCTTTCATTCATTTTCGTCGTTCATTTATCTACTACGGGATAAACTTAACCAAGCAGTTTTACGAAAATCAACATTATTTGATTACTCCAGGAAACTAACCATGGACAATCAGCTACTAGTTTTAACTTCTTATGTCTAGTGAAGCCTATAACTTAGTGGTTAGAAGTCAGATGCCATAACAGTTAGATCACCTCTCTACGTAGACGTGGTATCTTCACATATAGATACGTTTCGTTCGTCTGTCGTAGGCTATAATTGAAAGGATTCGACTTCCAACAATTCAGTTGTAGGTTGAAGTCTCACTATATGAGTTAGGCGAACTCTCTAAAAACATCCAATCAACTCTCCTTAGTATTTTTTTATAAATTAGACGATGTAATTCAGTCCCGAATTAACATTTTTTATTTACAGAGATGGGAATACACGGAAAACATTCTTGGATTGTTACTTAAGGTATCTAGATGACTTTTTGTTCACTCAGAGTTCCCATTAAACAGAACATTGTTGTTTGCCTACTCCAGTTTTGTTAATGAACTTTCTAGCAGTAGGTTGGTTCTTTAAGTGAATGAAGTTTTCCGAAGTATAACGGAAGAATTACAAAACATAATTGACTAGTCCCAATAGATTTATTTATTTATTTGAACACATAAATATTGGTACAGGGGGGCACCAAATATATATGCGCCACACAAAACAATGATAATTTGAAGAGAAGGAGAAAAGAGAAAAAAAATTAATGAACGTGGGGAATTATAAAAAAAAGGGAGAGAGAGAACAATGGTGGAGGAAACGGAAAGGTACAATCAGAAGCAATCTTTCAGTTAAGGAAGATACAACCACTTTTTATGAAGAAAGTAAAAGAAGGTTACAGCGCGATCGCCACTGGCTTCTATTCTGAGCCATATCTGATAACGTCTCTAGCCACTGCGTTACACCGTCTCTCGGACCCCAACCAGGGAGTCGTGAAGGACCAACAGAAGCTAGCCCTTTGCAGCTTTCTTTCATACCACGACACCATGTCATATACTGACCACCTCTCCGCTTTTCCCAACCAGTCCCGGAGTCGGCAAATAATGCACGACGTGGAATTCTCTGGGACGACATTCGTAGAACATGTCCAAGCCACCGAAGTCGGTGTTTCAAGATGGTGACACCAATCGCATTATCGTCTCTGTGCCCGAACACACGATGCCGAACCTCTGCATTACTAACAGGGTGTTGCCACTGGATGTCAGCAATCCTTCGGAGACAGCGATGATCGAACACAGAGAGTCGTCTAACATCCTCAACTCGGAGAGGCCAGGTTTCACAAGCATAGAGCAAAACTGCTCTCACCGTCGCGTTGTAGATCCGAACTTTTACAGCCAGACTAACATCACGAAGGCGCCAAAGATGGCCCAGATTGGCATAAGCCGCTCTGGCTTTCACTATACATGCATTGATCTCATCACTCACACCACCACCAGCACTTATGCAGCTACCTAGATAGACGAACTTCTCGACTACTTCAATCTGCTCACCATCCAGAGTGAGTACAGGATTAGAATTCTGCCAGTCTTGTAGAAGAACTTTGCACTTCGAAGGTGCAAAGCACATACCATACCTACGGACACTGATTGCCAACTGATTAAGTGCGGATTGCATAGCTTGGGCATTCTCGCACAGTAAGACAATATCATCCGCATACTCAAGGTCGAGAATCCTTTCTCCAGGCAACAGATCCACACCACCATTACTTACATCCGTCAGAGCTGTTTCCAGAATGTCATCGATGGCAAAGTTGAAGAGGAATGGTGAGATTGGGCAACCCTGCCTAACCCCACTGCTCGAATGGAATAGTGGAGAAAGGTGGTTGTATGCCCTCACTCTGCCTGAGGTGTTTGTGTATAGGGCTTTTAGGATGTTAATAAACTTCTCAGGCACACCCTTCTTCAATAGACAATCCCAGAGAACAGTTCTGTCCAACGAATCGAAGGCAGCCCTGATATCAAGAAACACTACGATTGTTGGCCTTTGATACGTATGACGGTGTTATAACACTTGGCGGAGGGTGAAGATATGATCAATACATCCTCGACCAGAACGAAACCCAGCCTGCTCCTCGCGAGTCAATCTTTCTCGGGTTTTGAACAACCTACGAAGTATGACGGAAGCCAATAGCTTGGACGCAATCGGAAGTAGACTTATCCCCCGATAGTTGTTACAGGAACAACGTGAACCCTTTTTAAAGATAGAGACAACTATCGACTCATTCCATGACGTTGGTACACTCTCTAGTTCCCAGATCTTTGTAAACAACGTCATCAGTCCCTTAGTCAGAAAGTCACCACCATCTTTAAAAAGAGCCGGAGGTAAGTCGTCTGGGCCGGGTGATTTGTAACGTTTCAAGAGTTGGAGTTCCTTTCGGACTTCCGACTCATTTGGTGGATCAGTCGTCACCGGCCATGTAGGACAGGACAGTCTGACCGATGTTGCCGGAGCAGCAGGCCAGTTGAACTGCCCTTCAAAGAATTCTGCCCATCGTCCAAGACGTCGATGGATGTTAGTGATTGGCGTTCCGTCATCCTCGCAGATTGTTTCGCTCACACCAGACTTCTTGCTGCCAGTGGCTCGGATGAGTTGGAAGAGATTCCGGTAATTACCAGATGCAGCTGCTGCTTCCAACTCACTGGCACGCTCCGACCACCAGGCTTCTCGGTCTTTACGCAAGCTTTGCCCGATTTCATTACGTAACATCCTTCGTCTGTGGTCAAACTCACGGTCACCCGGAGTAGACCGACGGGCTTCAATGAGTTGTAAGGAACCAGAAGAAACCCAGTACTTGTAAGCGGGACGTTTCGCAAACCCACCACTGACTTGACCCTCCATTTTCATGGCGTCATGCAATTGCAACCAATGCTCATCTATACTTTTCGGTGGAATGGTAGCTAGCCTAGAAGCTAGCTCGGTTTGGTACTTACTAGCAACAGAAGTTGCAGCCAGCTTGCTAACATCAATCCTGTGGTGGCGGTCACTTCGTTGTCCACTGAAAAGTAAGGTAAGATTGGCGCAGACCAGAGCATGATCAGATTCCAGATAGGTACTCCAAAAGGAGCGGCAGTCTTGTACACAACCGCGCCAGCGGTAGCTGATCGCGATGTAATCAATCTGAGTCCAGGCTTGAGATGCAGAAGGGGGACGCCAGGTGGCACATCGGCGATGACTGTGCCGAAAGTTAGTGCTAGCCAGAAACAGGTTGTGGTCTGTGCATAGTTGCAGTAGACGTTCCCCGTTATCTGACCTGCGACCAACGAGTCCCCATCGGCCACCTAAACGACTCTCTTCTGTGCCTAGACGCCCGACCTGAGCATTCAAGTCTCCAGCTAGTACTACAATATCTGTCGAACGCACTTTCTGGAGAAGAACAGTTAGCTGATGGTAGAACTCGTCCTTGATTGCATCCGGGCTGCAATCTGTCGGGGCATAGGCGGAGATGACGAAAAGACATCGTTTCTCACGCCGATTTGTTCTCAATTTGATGGAACTTTCTAATCTAACAGCACATAACCGACTGTTAATAGGGATCCAGTCGACTAGTGCTGCCTCAGCTCTTGCGCTTAGTGCGACACCAACGCCAGCAAGACCAGACGAAGATGCCACAGGGTCCCCGGATAAACGCACATAAAACAAGCTTTTTGAAGCAACAGATGGAGAGCGAACTTGTAGTACTTCACCAGAGTCTTGAATACGGGTCTCGGATAGACAACACACATCAATATTAGGACTTTCCAAAGACATAGCCAGCCCTATCTGTTGTCCGACCTGCATAATTGTGCGAACGTTGAAGGCAGCCAGTTTGAATGGTGCGCGTGGTTTCAGAAAAACTGCTTCAGTACTCGTATTCGGTGGCAACATACAATTTTCGACCAGGCAGTGACTCTAGAACGTTTAGATAAAGCTGAATTTTTACCATAGGTGAGCTGCTGTCTAAGTCGAAACGGATACAAAAAGTAGAAATAGGAAATAGTGAATAAATGACGTAGTAAATAATAATAATAATAATACCAGTCATTTCAATGTTAATCGGAGAGAAACGAATATTTTCTATAAGCAGATAGTTCATCATAGTTTTAGTGTGTGGGCTGAGATACTGCCCGGGTGCCCAAACCGAAGCAGGTGGTTTTCTTAGGGGGCCACACCCCGAGCCTTTGACCTAAAGGTCTAGTCCACAAGGCAGTGGAGCATCGTGAGGAGATGCAGTCCCATGGAAGCCGGTGACCAAAAGTTGGTTCATACGCCATTTGTTTCTTCAGGATACTGGAGCCCATGTGCACCATAGACTTGGGATCCGGTTATAGCGCCGGACGTTCGCTTTTCGTCCTCTCATTTTCGTGAACAACACTCCCGCCACGAGAAGGCAGTGAGTAGGACTTCCCAATAGATACTCCTTGATATACTCGATTGTAAACATTTACGTTTTGTGAGTGCTTACTGTTTAAAAAAGGATATGACATTTGAACAGCTTAAACTGACTGATAGTTCCGTAAATTCTGATTACCTTCGTAGTATTGAATATTTGTTTCCCCACCTTCCATTTAAAAAAAGTAGACAATTTCTTCGGTAAATATGTATTTCCCCGATTATATCATACTCAGTTTAAGTTAACTAAATTATCATTTGCATATCGATATTACGTTAACTATATAGGACTAATGAGTTCGTCTCTCCACATCACAATTATCAATTTTCAAACTTGTTCTCTATTCCACCTACCAACCTTTGGGCGTTTCTTTTATGCATGGTTCATAGCTTAGTAAATGAAAATCAACATGTTTACTGAGTTTAATTATTTACTTATTTGCTATCGCTAATCGATTGTTTATAAGCTGCTTTGGTCTGGTCATTAATTAGGAACCACTGAACTATATCTTAGTTCTAGAACTATTTTAACACAACACATTGGACCAGTTCAAGTTGCATGAAATATTTTTGAATAAAGTAATTTCGCTACTGTATGTATAATTTTGTTTATTTTGAAAACCGAAATTAGTATTATAATTACACATTAATCTGACTAAAGCCATTTTCTTTTTCGTGTTTTAATATGTAAATGTTTTTAGTCTGATAAAGCTTCCGAACCAACTACCCTTCTTTCTTGTGTACTCGATGGTTTTTATCGCTTATTTCACATGCCGTCATCCCCAAGATTAGGCTCACCAGGTTCAATGTTTCGCAGTGGTCATATTATCAGAAGCATCCCGATTGCGACGTCACGTTTGCTGCCTATTTGGCGTCTCTTTCCTCCTGTTGTTTTACTAAATGTCGGTCATTATGTTGTTCGATCGTTTGCAAACACTGCAGCTTTATATTATTGGAGTGGTAATGAGGATCGTCTTGAACGAGATGCGGAAATGAACTTTAATTATAAGGTATATCAAACAGTTTTGTTTAAGCTGAACTAAATTATGTATTATCTGTTTCTTAAATGTTCTCTGATAGTCGCATAAAAAGCAAAAGTATGTTCGTGTTTACCAGCTATTGGATTGGTTGTTTTAAAGTAGCTGTTTTGTTGGTCGGTGTCACCTTTTGTTAGCTTAGCTCTGCAATATGTGTTGATATGAGTAGTGTATCCACATATTTTCATGTCCAGTGAACTGACATTCGAAATTGGGAGTTCAAGTCACGTGTATATAATTATGGTCATAATTTATCAGCAAAGTGGATCGCAATTGAAAACCGAATTGAAATTTTACTGGCATAAAGATGTTCCAAAAAACTAAAAAGAACAGGAGCTTATTTCCCCATATATTGGTATACTAGGTTTCCTTATTCGCAAAAGTTTTTAAACAAGCCGTTCAATCAAGTCCATTTGTATTTCCACTTTTTGAGTTTTCATGACATGGAATTTTTGTCACAAAATAGTAACAACTATCGATTGTAAATATGTCGTATAATGACACTAGCTAAATGAAGATGTGCCACTGGAGTCTACATCAAAATCCTTACGGATCGTAGAATAGCTGCACAATAATTTCACCTTCACATACTAAACGTTATTTATATGTAGTCACGATAATTAGTGTTAAACTGTCAGCCATTATTGATAACACCAACATATGCTACTAATTCACCAGTGCCATTAACGATTTTGATATGCTGGGGATATACATTAGACAAGAAACTCTTATTAAATGTTTGGAATGATATGGTATTGGTTTCGTGGAGTTAAGGATCATAAAGACCTCTCATGCTCCGAGTTTCTGTATTACAATATTACAAGGACGAATTTCCAAACGTTTTTGTACCACTCAAAAGCTGACGAAGATGTATACAATAGAGTTGGGGAATCCAGCATACATGTTACCATGTTTTTTTTCCGAGAGTATCTTGTATTTTATTAATAGAAACTTATTTCTTATCAAATTTCAGACTGAAGGCTTTAATCGGAATAAGTGTTCTCCTGGATTTCCTACACCAATCACACATACATCTATTAGTGAGCGTCATACAACGGATATGGATACTTTAACTTACCAACGTCAGGACACCGCTTTACAGGCTATTTATGATCGTTATTATGCCGACTTGTTCGCTGGAATGACAGCTAATTTTGTCGCAGATGTTGTACTTTATCCAGTAGAAACCATAGTACTACGGTTGTGTGTACAAGGCACTCGTACCCTGGTTGATAATATGGATACGGGCGATGTAGTTGTTCCCATTGTTTCTTCATATGATGGATTTTTTGATGCACTTCGCTCTAGCTTGGGCTCGTCTGTTGGAATTCTGGGTTTTTATAAAGGTTTTGGTGCTCTTTTAGCTCAATATACCCTACAGGCACTGTTTATTTTTGGGATCCGTTGTTTGTATGAACATCTTCTTTGTCTTTGGGCTCCTCCGCCTACTGATAACATAGTTTACTCAAAGTCAAGTTCCAGACCAAATGTATCTACCTCATTTGATGGCTTGGAGTCAGTTGCTGTTGGTGACTCTCCATCTATTGTTAATAACTGGTAACTTCATACGTGCTATTGTTGTATTAATTTTGATGAGTAAAATTCGTCATTGTTGTACAGTTTCATGCTTATGCATTCAAGCATCACTTTTATATCCTAACTTCACCTAATGCCTATTTATTTCATTTGTATCATTTCTTGGAGACTATCTAGGCTAGAACTAAGTTGGACTTAATAAAAAATGTAGACTTTCAATATTAGAAAATCGTTTTTATTTCTCTAACAAAAGGAAGCAGGATAAAATCTCCAATTTTCAATTTTCACTCATCATTTGTGAATTGATTTTTGAGAATTATCTAATTGCTCATTTTTAGATTTTCACATATTAAACTGTATTCATGTGAAATTATTGTATATTTTCTCTTTCCATTGTTGGTGTAAGCCGTTTAGAAGGTGAAGAAGTTAATTTTTCTCGTTGCTCTTTTAAATCACTGGGTCACGTGTGGCTACGTTAGAATACGATAGAATAATCCAATAAGTTTATTAGTCCTTAATAGTGTCGAAAATGTGGTACATCAATCAATATTGTGCTTGACTGGAAAAAGAATTCATATGCAACTACTTCTTTATTAAGAAATTCGTCATTTTACTCGCTTTTGATGTATTTGATACTGTTGTAGACTACTATTTAGTCATTGTTAAAATATGTTTTGAATATGCTCTCAATTTCCCTAATTATGTACACTCAACTAAACATTTCTGTTAGACGGGAATAAATGTGTAGAGACTTCTTCCTTTCTATTTCATTAGTTGTATGAACTCCCAGTCACTCATTCGGTAGATTGCCTGAGTTATTACAATCGACTATGCAGCTTCTGACTCTTGATCTGAACCATGTGGTGAAATATAGCCTTTTTGTTTTAGTTCATCCTTGTATATGGAATACACGTTTAGTAATCGCAGGCAACACTACGGGATTTCGACCAAAATGTTCGTATTTCGTGTTACGTAATAATGTGTTGAAAGTTGAGCATAATATGAATAAAACACTATGTGCCGATTTGCCGTGTTCACTTGTGACATTCTCGTTCATTTTAATATATTTCACATTTCTTTTCTCTTTCTAAGCTATTGCAAAATATAGCGGTTGGAAACAATGAACCTTTGTATGGTATTCTACGTTACTGTCTGCTTGTATGGTGCATTATGACAATCTTTGTGCTCGAATAAGTGTAAGTGTAATTTCTACATATTTGATCCCTAGATGATTATCATCATCATAATCACCCATAGGAATTGGGACGACAAAACAGATATTTGTAACTTTGAATCTACTGCTTCTAAACAGTCACACATTACTTTTGATATCCTCTCATTTGATTCAACTTGTAGTATTATATAGGTGCAAGAAGAATATCTGAACCAATTTAAAGTGTTTGTAGATGTTTACGTTTCAGGTATAACATGTAAATATTTTGGAGAAACATCTGGGTATTTAATTAGGTAATCCTAGATTAGCATTCAAGCAAATAGATTAACGCCAATCGTTTTCAGGAAAAATTGCTTTAGATTAATTTCACATGGAGTTGTCACTGTTAAATGAACGTTTGAAATTGAATCACATTTCTTATGTTTCACACTATAAAAAATCACTAGATGGTACGGCCGAGGGTGTGGAGAGTCAGGTCTCCCTCTCGAAATGCTCTCACATGGCCACGCGTATACAGTCAGTGCCAGGGAAGTCCTACTCACTGCCTTCTTGCGGCGGGAGTGTTGTTTACGAAATCGAGAAGACGAAACGCGAATATCCGGCGCTTTAGCCGGCTTGATGGATATGGTGCATCCACCTAGGGGAGTTGGAAAACCCTGATTCCAAACCAATGGTGCACATGGACTCCAGGATCCTAAGGGAACAAATAGAGTATGAACCAATCGTCGACCACCGGCTACCATGGGATTGCATCTCCTAACGTTGCTCCATTGCCTTGTGGATCAGACCTTTAGGTCGAAGGCTCCGAGTATGGCCTCCTAAAGAAACCACCTGCTTCGGTCTGGGCAACCGGACAGTATCACGGCCCACGCACAAATCAAGTGACTTGTGTAGTGCATATGTATTTTGACATGAAACAGCTTATATCAATGAAAATACCTTGCAGGTACTTTAATTATATATATGATCTATTTGTAAATGAGAAAGGGCATCAAGTAGTTTTTGCGTAAATTGCAAAATAACCTAAATGATAGGCGTAACTAAGAATTGTAGTGAATGTTTTAAGAAGGCTTAAATTTTTTTGCATATTATAACTCACAATTAGATTTTTACTAGAATTTACTTTCGGTAAATTCACAACTAAACCTTCCAACCAGTCAGTCATACTCAACATAGAACCTGGTACATATGTGCGTCAGTTCAATTAGGCACGCCACATCGACGCAGCGAGATGCCGTAGTAACATAGGTAGTAACCGTAGCTGCTACCTTGACGTGGTGGTCGGGCTTGCCTATCGTGATGACCCAACCGAGCTATATTGGCTGGAACTCAAGTTCCTGCAGGTTCTACCATGCCAGGCAGGTCGATTGGAGAACGGTAAGACTAAAAGCAACAAACCCAAGGTTCGAGGGCTAAGTCGTACTGCTGACTGTACAGAGGTGTGACACCAGTAAGGTGTTTCCTTCAGACAACCAGCATGACAGCGATGCTGCCTTCTCACAAGGAAGGAAGGGGTTAGAAAAGGTTGACCCTAAAAATGTCACACCTCACCTTACCCCACGGATTTCCGTCTCCGGCGGTAAGGCCCTTTGAAGAACGGAGCTAACACATTAAAAAGCTCCCACAAAAAGGCCGTGCGCGACCGGCCTCAAGCAGTTGTCCCTTGGGCTCTGCGGTCACGCACTCAGGTCGCTAAGACCAACACTAATCCGATTTCCTTTTCAGGTCCCCCAAGAAATACCCTTCCACGGTGTGGGCAACCGGGAAGTGATATCAGCCCTCATACCCGTAACAGCACACGAGACCAAGTTGGTCACATTCAAATCCTTCCTACACCTCCTAATAACTCTCTTATCTCCACGACTAACCCTTCTCACGTCCCTTTATCACCTCGCCCCGCTAGTGCGAACGATTCGAGTACGCGGAATGTTATTCCTGGTCTCCTGAAACCACGCTCTAAACTACACGTAGGAGCTTTCAACGTCCGAACACTGTGCCAAATAGGACAACAGGCTTCCTTAGCTAAGACTTTAGAATCTCGCTCCATCGATGTGTGCTGCGTCTCCGAAACGCGCACACAGGATCCTAGTAGTGTCATTCATTTGACTGCACCATGTCAAAGTAACGAACCAACTCGATTTACGCTTCGTGTATCTGGAAGCCCTGATGCTGCATCCCGTGGCCTCGCTGGCGTAGGTATAGGATTGAGTCCTAGGGCAGAACTAGCTCTCTTAGACTGGATCCCAGTAGACAGTCGTTTGTGTGCTGTCCGACTAAACGGAACAGTAAGGACTCGAAAACATAGGGACACTCGTTGTTGCCTCTTCGTCGTCTCTGCCTACTCTCCCACTGACTGCAGCTCAGATGATGTGAAAGATGAGTTTTACAGAAAGCTTTCCGACCTTCTCCGAAAAGCTAGGCGTTCAGATGTAGTAATAGTGGCTGGTGACTTTAATGCTCAAGTAGGTAAACTAAGCGAAAAGGAAAGACACCTGGGTGGATCTTATGGTGTCGCGGTTCAAAGAACAGATAACGGCGACCGTCTGTTGCAGCTATGCTCAGATAACCGCCTGTTTCTTGCAAACACTAACTTTAAGCATAAGGAAAAACATCTTTTGACATGGCGACCCCCTAATTCGTCTCAACGCTGGACCCAAATAGATCACATCGCTATCAGCCACCGATGGAGGGGCTCGATAGAAGACTGTCGCTCATTCTGATGCACATGCTTAGACTCAGATCATGCTCTCGTGCGAGCGCGTATGTCTACGTCTTGCTGGACGTAGGAAAGATTGTGCAAGGAAACCCCTAAGGATCCTACTTAATGATAGTCAAGCTAAGAGTATATTTCAGGAACATCTAGAAAAACAGTTAGGCAGCCATGTAAGTGATACCCACCCCGAGGCAGCATGGAATGACATCCGAAAAGCTATAGAAACAGCAGTGATGTCTGCAAGTACGGTAAACCATAAGGTTAGGGAGAAACACTGGATCTCAGCAGCATCTACCGCACTGATAGATGCTCGAAAACCCATTCCATCTGGCTCTGAACATAACGAAGAGCGGAGTCAGCTTAAGCGTAAGCTGACTAGAAGCCTACGCAAAGATCGTGAACAGTGGTGGGTAGCGAAAGCAAGAGAGATGGAAAAGGCAGCGGCAATAGGTAACAGCAGGCAACTGTTCAGACTTGTTAAGGAAACCGGTATTAGGAACACAACTGTTAGCGAAACAATCGCAGAGAAAGATGGACATATTATTCATTCTCAATCCAGGAGATTGGATCGATGGGCAGAATACTTTAGGGATCAGTTCAACTGGCCTTCAGCCACACTTCGGTTTCCCACGATCCCCAGTCGACCTGAATGACAAGTTGATGTAAGTCCTCCGACTCTTTACGAAGTTGAAAAAGCTATAGGAAATCTGAAGCGTGGGAGAGCAGCAGGCCCTGACAGGTTTACCCCTGAGATTTTTAAGGATGGCGGTCCAGTATTAGCAGCGAGATTGACTGAGGTCTTAGGTAGAATCTGGGAACTGGACGTAATCCCATCTGACTGATCTCAATCACTGATTGTGCCAGTTTATAAGAAAGGACAAAAGTCCTCCTGTGACAATCACAGAGGAATTAGTTTGACTAATATAGTGTCTAAAATATTAGCTTCAATAATACTTCGACGTCTAACCAAAGCTCGTGAAGAGCAGACTAGAGAAAACCAGGCTGGTTTTCGACCTGGACGTGGTTGCATTGATCAAATATTCACATTACGTCAGGTCCTAGAACATAGACACACATTCAGACGTCCCACAATGGTAGTATTTCTCGACCTTAAGGCGGCATTTGACTCTGTTGATCGTAAGGTTCTATGGCAATGTTTGTCACTGAAGGGAGTACCAAAGAAGTACGTCAACCTTATAAAGGCTCTCTACTGGAACACAACTGGTCGAGTGAGAGCTTATGGTGAACTGTCATCAGAATTGATTACCTCAAGTGGTGTTGGTCAGGGCTGTCCACTCTCTCCATTCTTGTTTAACTTTGTCGTTGACGTCCTTTTAGAGATGACACTTTCCTCTTCTAAATTTCCAGGAGTTGAACTTCTACCGGGAGATCCACTTGTTGACTTAGAATATGCCGATGACATAGTTCTATTTAGTGAAGACGCTGACAGAATGCAGAGTCTGCTGACCACTCTAAGCAACAATGCAAGCCTGTTCGGCATGCGATTCTCTCCCTCGAAATGCAAAATGTTACTTCAGGATTGGGTTGCGTCGACACCCGAACTAGTGATAGGGAGTGAAGTAGTTGAGCGTGTCGACCGCTTCACTTATCTCGGAAGTCTCATCAGCCCTTGTGGTTTGGTGTGTGACGAAATCTCAGCACGGATACAAAAGGCTCGACTAGCTTTTGCCAACTTGCGTCATTTGTGGCGTAGGCGAGATATCCGTCTATCAACCAAAGGACGTGTTTACTGCTCAGCAGTTCGTTCCGTCCTACTTTATGGCAGTGAAACATGGCCGGTAAGAGTAGAGGATATTCGTAGGTTACTAGTATTTGACCATAGATGTCTTCGAAACATTGCTCGTATATCCTGGGACCACCGAGTAAGTAACTCAGTTGTTAGGAAACGGGTACTAGGTAAGGATGGAAAATCAATTGAGGAAGTAGTGAAACTCAATCATTTGAGATGGCTGGGACATGTGTTGCGTATGCCCGACCACCGACTGCCCCGACGTGCGATGTTTTATGGTGTAGGAGTAGGTTGGAAGAAAGCTAGGGGCGGCCAGACCAAAACATGGCATAAATCCATGAAGTCACTGACAAGTGGACTGAGTCATGTTGGTAGGTGTAGACTACCTGGTTGGGGACCGCGAGACGATAGCAACCGATGGTTAGAGACCTTGAATGACATGGCTCAAAATCGTTTGCAATGGCGCAGGTGCATCCACTCTTTGTGTTCTCTCAAACTCTAATCTTCTGAATTCTTCATGTCCTTTATTTTCTTTTCCAATTTATTCCACTGGACTATACTCCTTTAATAACATCATCAAACCTTAATGTCTCCTATCTCTACTTATACTTTCAGTACCTCTACCACTATGGGATTTGAATGGATAACTGAATCTCTGTGCTAATGTGGTATGGCAACTCGAACTGATGTACGTACGTACGAAGTTCCACGTTGTTACTGACTGACTGACTGACTGAGTTCTAGAAAAATTAGCTATAGGCGTTAAAACTCGAGAAGAAAATATTTAACCCCAATAGAGTGGTCTAATGTCTTCAGTTACCTCTCATTAAAAATACAATAATTTCTTCCGAAATCATCCTAACCATATAGTACAGTATAATTGATCGATTCCATAGCATTTTTCAGTCAATTTTGTTTCACTTTTAGTAAGTGATTTCCTATCAATAATGACATAATTTTAATTCTCTTGTCATTTAATGCAGAAAACAACTATAATATTTATGTGAATATGATTGACAAATTAATTCAAGTACAACCAGAATGTGTTTTTGAAGGTTTTCAAAATTAAGACATCTGGTAAGTGGCAGCTATTTCAGAGGACAATCTTCATTAAACATAATGAACATAATCTTATTTACTCTTGGTGTTATTCGGATCATATTATACTTTGTCTTGGTATTAGTAATTGAATCCAGTTTACTGCTAGCTACAGACCTTGTATTTTCGAAGAGTAATACTTACCAGAAACAGATAATATTTTTTGAGAATAATTATAGATTCATGATTTTTTTAAGTCTTAGGTTTTGAATCCTCATCCTCCCTCTCTTCAAATTCTCATCCTGCTGCAGTAAATCGTACTTTTGATATCAGTAGTTTGATATTGTAGTGTGTTATTGGATTTTCCGTCGTTCAAGTTTAATTATTAAGTATATTTACAAATACTTTTGTAATGATATTGAATTTATTAGAGATGGTAAAATTTCTTTTGAAAAATACTGTCTTCTTTCTTAAGTTCGTATCCATTCAGCTGGCACATCGATGTGTGACCTACTCATTCAGTCATAAACTATGGGATCATGCGTCTTTTCTCACTATTCAATCGCCCTTAGGACCCAATTTCGTCCCCACCTTTAGAATAACTTATCAGTATCACAAGCTGCACAAAGTGGATTTTCCATCCTTTATAAAAAGAGTATCTATTTTTAAAAATAATGTGATCATTGGGAGTTCACTGACTTGAATGAATTGGCAAGATATAATTTAAATGAAAGTTGTTGATTTTAACGTAGTGTACCCATTAGTAGTCATCGTTCTAGACTTTATAAGCAATCTCAATGCACTTGTTAAATCTTAAGTCTTCTCAAATAACAATCTCACTTATTCAACTACTCTCATTCACTAAATTCATTCCGTATAAAGTTAAACGTTTACTGATAATAAACAAACATTTACGATTTGGTTATAATGTGCTGATAAATATATAGACGCCTTTATTCTAACGATTACGACATCGAGATGTCAATAACAAAAGTGAGAAGCTTATCCTGAGATCAGTCAATAAATTTAGGAAATTATGAATTCTGAAGAACAATTATGACGCAATGTAATATCCAATAAAACCAAAAGTCAACGATCGTTATGTACGTTTTTCATCGCTTTTATCTCCCCGTTGTCTTTGATCACTTAGACTGCGTTGTTTTAGGAAACTTACTTCTTACTTACATTATCTGTCAAGATGACCAGTTTGTGCATGAATGTATTTTAAAGACGTGTTGGTATTTTATGCATAAAAATAACATACTCATTGAGTACAAAACCGCCTGTCATTTGTTCTTCCGACTGTTATGGGTTACTAATCATTCTAGGATGACGAAATTTGTCTCAACTAAGAAAATGTTCATTATGATTTTTTCTGTAACACATTATCACTGCAGTATTATCTGTAGTTGTTTTGGCTCACATTGAGCCATATAATAATTACATCAAACAAAGAAAACGCATAGTTTGTCTGTGATATGTGCTTATTGGTTTATTTTATGGTTTGTTAATTATATCGAGATACGGTTGTCAACTAGAGAACAGTGACTTATCGACCGAACCAATAACACTTCGAGTTCTTATTGATCCTTTTTCTGCCTAGCATTGCCTGTTAAGTCCAGAACGCAAATATCAGCCTCCGTTATATGAATCATTTACTTGGTTTACATTCAAACAAACCAGACCGCATCATACCATGAAATAGCAAATAATAATTATGCTTTTCGATAATGCAATGAGAAAACGAAGTTTATCAGAATTATGTGTTATATTTGCGCAATACATTTCGAACAATCTGATCACATATATACTTATTAAGACATTTTTATATGAAAATCAAAAGGTCAACTAGACAGGTTAAAAGTGAGCTGTAACAAAGAAAAAGAAAAAAAAAGTGATTATACAAAATCAGACCAAAAGGTGGCTGTGATTGCGAGAGACTAACCAGTAAATTTGAGAATAACTCAGGAATAATAAATCGCATAATGATAGCCAATAGGTCAAATAGAAGCTTATAGTAAGAGGAATAGAAATGTATATAGTTTAGTTTCTTAACAGTTATACAATAAAAATATATGTATAAAATTTGTCCATAAATAATTATTAGCAGTTATCATTCATTTATTCTCGTCCAGTTATAGCACTTATTAAATACAGAGACACATTGACCTTGTAAGCCACTTCACTGACAATCTGTATTTGGTAGCGAATGCATTAGTTCTGTCAACTACATGGAGGGGGGGGTACTAGACTACGTTTTGGATTCAGGGTCGTTCTAATTGGCTGTCTTCATAATAACACTTATGCTTAGACTGTAGCATCGAAGTGATCTAACTTGGAAGCCTATCATTTAAACGGATTAAAAGTATATGATGAGTCATAAGAATGATGTCTAACGTGGATGCAGTGTTTATACTCTCAATTTTTGTTAATAATTCAGCAGTGACATCATCTTGGAAAGCAAAATTGTGATAAATCTTTTCCTAAACGGTTTATTGAAACCACTTCCGTTGTAGCAGTGTTTGAAAATGTTTTTAACTCCTGTTACTTGCTCTTTAAGAGTATTTCCTGGGCAAGTAGTTTCCGCTCATAATGCCAAATAATTGATAGAGATTGCTAGTCATTACTCTAGTATCCTCGTCTGTTCATAAACAAACTTTTCAGATGTTTTCATACTATTTATTTATTGTTAGTAGCTTGCACATTCATAGGAATAAAATACTAATTTTATCTGGTTGAATAAAGTACTCCACGATGAACCCAGCTTAAACGTAATTTATAAATATCACTATGTTCACTGAACACAATTACGTCAGGCGATTGTAGATTGACTTAAGTATTACTACAATAGGTTGATATTTTGCAATTTATTTTATCTAGATAAATTTATCAACGAAGCTGAGGTTTTAAGCCACACATATAAGAGTGATAAGCGTTATTACAGTATTTGGAGGCGAATTCGGCCTTGGGACAGGGTCATTTCGCAGTCGAACCATACTTTTACTCACCCCTCTGAATCGTACTCGTTGTGTAAATATTAGAGTTATTCATGTGTAAATACCCATTAAAGTTATCGATGTGAACGACCACTAAACTATACAAGATTGTTAGCCGTTATCGATTGCTTTATATTCAACATTTGGTTCAAGAAAATAGCGTAGGTTTGAAAGCAAAGTCAATTTAAAAACATCTACTGTCTTTATAAGCTCGTATCTTCAAAAATAGTATATGCTCATAAATAACCAAGAAAATTCATATTATTTCACTCTATAAATAGTATTTATCATTGATCAAGGTGTTGAAGCATCCTTAAAGGTGCGTAAATAAATCTAATTTAGTCAATAGAATTGTTTATTCTTCGGTATTTGGTGAGAATCTGAATGTTTTATGAGCGATACCGATAAGCGTCAACATGAGTCAGAACCAAATGTAAATTCACTGTGTCCTGCTAACCTTTAGGGATATAGATTAATTTACCAATATATTTACGCAAAGAAAACTTTTACTATGAAACAGACGGGTGTTGTGTCATTTAAAGAAAACTATCAGCAATGATCAAAATTTTTATCGAATTTGTGTCTGTAATTCAGTAGAAGAGTGCTGCCTAATTTAAACAAAGTGGTCCAGGAAATTACGTAATGGTCCAGAGACTAATGAAACATTTTGGCGTGAACGTAGTCTATGGATGAATGACATTTGTCCGGTTAATAAATAAAAAGAACAGAATAATCAAATGTTATTTTAATATCTAATCAACCATTGTAAAAAAATAAGGTCTAAAAAGCAGTAGTTCATTAAGGACAGAAAATAGATAGGAAGGTTAAGACCATGATAGAATGAGAAGCTAGAAATTTAGTTTTTATACACAAACATTATGCTTTGATCTGTGATCAGGTGGAGACTCTGATGTACGTAAGTTTCTAATTATCAACAGCTTTAAATAACTTGTTAACTTTGTAGATGATTTTGAAAGAGGGTACTGCTGAAGCACTGTAACCGTAATCTACGAGATGTTAAAGGATTAAACTACTGACTGACTTGTGTAGTACTTCTAACAAGTGGGATAATGTCTGAACATGTATTTGCAATGAACTCTCCTGGATAGCAAGTAAACTGAGAAAAGTACACTAATGTAACAGGAAGTTGAAGATTGTCTTTCACGCGCTTCTAATCAAAGGCTGACTAGAGAAGACGATGCGGAATTCAGCAAAGTAGAATGTTCTCAGATATCTTAAGTCTCTTTTCCGGATTATCTGGTGAATTATATTTAAATTCGATGTTCATGAAGATGATTTTGCATCGTGCTATAGACACAGGCTTTACTGTTTCTTCGGATTTCTATCAATGATCTTAAGTGGACAGACGTTGTTGATCAATATTTTCTGTAGTTTATCAGTTTTAATGTCAATTGTATCATAAGTAAAAATTTGTCTTGTTCTTATTGTGAGCATGAGTCCAGTTTCTCTTTCGACTCAACTTGACAAAAATTTGAAAACTTATGTTCTGACCACCCTAGGTTGGCTTATAATATTCATTCCTTTTTTATATTCATCAAGTGGAAAGTTATCTTTCATCTTTTTGTAAAGACTCCAGGTCACCTAGTTATGTGAATAAGTGTTAGTTCTTCCTTGCAACGATAATAGCGAGTATAACTGAAGAATTTGGGTAACATAGCTCAGAATCGTTAGCAATTGCCAAGATGCATTCATTTATTGCTTTCTTTTGAGAATCGAGCCCCGAAATCTCGTTATACCATTTTTGCCTTAAGCTTTTCTAATACCGTTGGTATTTTTACTAGTCCCACTACTGCGGGATTTGCAATAATTTTATTTCTACGGGTTAATGTACTATGGGAACCTAAGCCAGTATATATCTGTCAGGTTCTGCTCTGCATATGACTGACTGAACTGTGAGTATAATGTTTCTGATACGTATTTCTTTGTGACGTTCTTATTTTTGGTCAGCTTTTGCTGTTCGTGAGTTTTTCTCAAAGTCACGTTGGTCTCTTATATATATATATTAAAACTGATGATGTTTCTTTCTTCAGATCTTATTATCCTTATGTTTTCGTAACCAGTTGGTTGTGCTATTCGTTTTTTATGTGATTGGTTTCCCTTTAACTCTCTGATTGATAACTTAGTCTATATTTTTATTGCGAATTGACCCAAATATCATGTTTCTAGATATTCTCAGGGATTTTTGAGATTTCCATGCAGACATTTTCTCAATCGATTGTAGTTGTTTCGGTTCATTGACACAAGTAATAATATATTGTCTTGTCGCCTTTAGTCTGTTCAGTGTAGTGCTTATTTCAACTGATATGATTTATCGCAATCAAACTATCCAGAATACAGAACGTAACATCAAAAGTTAGTATATTTTGCAAAGCATTCTTTTAATAACGAAATGTCAAACGGGAAACTTTTTTTTCGGTTAATGAATCAAGACAGT